TGGTAATTTCCTTTCCGGGAGAGTTATTTGAAGTTCGTAACGTGAAACACGTGGCTCAGGGAGAGTGGTGTCGTATGCTGTTTTGGTGCAGGCCACCCGAGGTACCAGTCCTGAACACATGAGAACTTTGGGAAATGTTACCTTAGGAATGTTTAAACGTGGTCCGCTTGCCAAATCCATTCAACAGCTACTGCGTTCCCGTCCCTGCTCTAGAACCTATCGAATAAAAATCCACCTGGTTCAGACGTGGAACCAGCTAAAATGGTGAAAAATGACATTTGTAGCGTAAAAATCTTGGATATGGTGCACTGTAGCTGACAGGCTGAGAGAATGGATTAGGTAGAAGCAAACTGTCTGTATTATTAATGACTTTGCGTGGACCAAAACTGTGTGTGTCACAGGGTCAAAGAAATCATGTGACAGACGATTATAGCTTTGAAAAGGAACAAACTTCGTCAGAACCACGAGGAAGAACAACGGTGATCTTCTTTGGAATTTACAGAAATTTCGCGTTTCTATCTAGTCGGGACCTTAAACGGTTGGTGTGAATTGGGGGAAAACGGCCACTGTAGAGGGGAGCACGGAGAAAAGTATATCAATGTAAGTTCGAAGAGTTCCATGATTATTCGATCCTTCAACCACGTGACACTACTCAAGAGGTCGATGGATGATCTGAACAGCTCAGTGTCGGTTAAGCTCCTCCTGGGTTTCATCAGGTAGACTCAATTACCGTTGTAAGTTAATATAAAATAGCAGGAATGTGATGATAAAATATCTTTCAGCTAGAAGCTGGGGCAGCCTAAGTGCGTCACACTCGGCAGGGAAATACTGCGTACTAGAATCTCGACTGGGTTTCAGTCGAGTTTCTTGTCGACACCAACTTAACTAGGAAATGGCAGCCCGGTTGTTGTTGCTTTCATTCGCTGTCGCAGGATTATAACTGACAACATCAAGCCAATACACCACTGTCGGGAGGTACCTATGTAAATTTCCCGACCTGCGCCAATTTGTAAGTGACATTTGAGGGAACTGTAGAGACTGATTGATCCAGAGAAACAACCGCTGCAGACAAAACCGTGACCCGGGGCATATCTATTAACTGAAATGTCTCAGTACGGCCCTGACTCTTGATTTTTTTCTAGTTCTGAGCGGAGGGGCATAACAAAAGATGACACTTGGGCCATTCATCCCAGTCAAAGCATTCCATTTAGTTCATCCTTTCCAAAGGTTCCCTTTTTTGACATCCTTCGACATAGCTCCTTGGGGGATGAGAAACTCTTTACAGAACAATTGCTTGACTTTCTACAAAAAGATCATGGATTTTGAAGCAATTACGTGAGAAGAATGTGTCTGGTTGGGTTTGGTTTCCAAGGCCGACGAATGACTGAATTACTAAGACTGCATAGTTGTATCAAGTCAACATTAATGAGTGTATGTCCACATGAGTTTACATCTAGACCGTTACCAGGCGTCAAATAGATAAAATCCGTCAGACCGTTTGTAGTAATTTCGTATTCCCCTCTTTGCCTAACCACGTCATACACCACATTTTTGTTGTTCTTTGACAAAATATACCAACATTTTTTGTCTACGCCATTTTTTAAACATTTTCAAAAAAACCCTAGTTAAAGAAGACCAGTATGTCTGGAAAACACTGCAAAGTTTCAGGTAATTCGCTCCGGTACTGCCTTAAATATTTCTGTTTTCCAGGCATTTCCGTATTTCTTACTCTGTCCAGTGATCAGAAATCTGCAGAAAATTGAGGACATCGTAATTCACTGAATGAAGACTTTAAGTGTTTTCCTCAATTCGGATTTAAGTTGAGAAGCATCCCTCGGTTGAACGACTTTTGCAACGCGTAGGAGAGATCACGTGACACATTTCCGTAACCATGTTTATCTCCCGGTCCGATAAAAATTTCTGAATAGTAGTGTTTCGTATGTTGATACTGACCATTCGCGCAAAGTCAGTTCGCTACTGCAGACCTTCACCCGATGATAGATTTCGGGCGAGTGGTCCTGAGGACAACAGCTTAAATGCTGCCCAGATTGTCTCACGTGATTAGCACAAATTAGGAGCAGAAATATCACGTTGCCAATATTTTTCGGAATTCATCATGCTTTGTCATTTTTTTGGAATTATTCATGCGAAAGAAGACTGGCCTTTGTATACCGCAAAGTGTGAGACATGAGCCACACTGTGTACAGATCAGTCATCTGTAGCCCGAAGGCACAACAGTCATATTCTATTGGTTGTAGAAAGTTAATGAGTAACGGGAGGCCAGCGAGCACAAGCAGAATGGTCTGGTGCTATAGTGGGATTTACTATACTGGCGTTGACAAAACGACCTATTGGGAAGAATGACATTCAACATCTTCGTTTGATTTATACGCAAGCAGAGGCATGGACAGTACATTTTCCTTTTGGCCTGCTGATGAAGTCGGATTATACAGGCAAATTAGTGATGTCTCTGTGGGCATCAATGAAAGTACAAAGTTTGAACTGATTCTGGGTATGCGAGAGAATTCCCATCCGTTCATCTTCAAACTCGGCCAGGCTGGCGGTGATTCCTTGTCTCACATGACGCAGCGTGGGATCACAAAGAGCTACAGCCTAACGGCTCACATTGAGGCATGATAGCCTCCGTCTTGATTCACAAGCAGTTGCCATTTCGACGCTGCTCCGCTTGTGCGACCTACTACCCGACGGCGACCCACAGCACGCAGCCGGTGGGCAGGCTGATTGGATTCGATCGATCGCTCCATTGTGCTACAGAACTCGGTTCATTCGAAACAAACGTTCAGGATTCCATCTACTTGCCAGCACTGTGAGAAGGGAATTCGCCTTGCTGGTCGTGGCGACTGTTATTAGGTCTATGCGAGTCAGTCAAACTCTACTTGCGTGTACTTATAAGCACAGTCTATGTTACTCGAATTGATGGTGCTATAACTAGAATCCAGCTGAGTCTTTCATGAACGACAAATTGATTTGCAAATAGGGTAATTAACCAACGACCTTGTTAAATAAGCCTATTTTAATCCCGATAGTAGCACTTTTAAGCGGATGGAGAGAGTCACATTCGTAGGTCCACTAGGTAAAACGGTGGGTGATTGATGGATAGATTAGTGCTAAAATTTCCAGATGCCATCATCATCTACTTATCGTCTGACCGGGATATTTTGAAACAGTTCTAAGCGCGTAAACTGTGCTCACCCATTCTTTCCGTTTCCTCTGGGAAAAAAAAACAGGTTAGTAATGTACATAAGGTTGACGGAAACTCGGGAGCTGCGCCTACCTGATCAGCTCCAAGAAGAGAGAAACCGGTCGTGGGCCGTCAGAGTTTTCAGTAACCCTGTGAGTGACTTCCTCAATAAAATGTGAGGGTGTTTGTTCTGCCTCTGATGTTGTGGTATTTTATGCAACTTCTGTAAACACGGCTGCAACTATACTAGAATTCCTTTGAGAACAGATTTGAATTCTGATTCACGCAGCCCTGTGTGGCCTCCAAAACTGCTCTGCCATCAGACCCAATTTCTACCTGAGATCATCTTTGAGGTTTTCTATTTTATTTTTCTGGTTCTTGGTTCAGATACCAACCAGGGGATAGAGTGCTCTTCACACTTTGTTGTTTACCATCTTTTTGGGCAGAGGTACATAATTTTGTCTCCGGAAGGAAATTAGTTCGTCGAGAAATACACTCATTTGCAAATCAATTTGGCTTTCACGAGAGACTTAACTGAATCTCTCGTTTATGATAATCAACAACTAAATGTGCTGCACACGGGCCGCCTCATGATTCAGTTGGCAGGATATTCGAGAAATCGCAGTATATTTTCATTAAAGAAACTACTCACAAGGTTGCTGACAGCCCACGACCGGTTTCGCTCTTCTAGGGCTCATCAGGTAGGCGCAGTCCCCGAGTTTCCGTCAACCTTATGTTCTACTTGAACCCAAATTGGACTGTGTTCAAGAAATACACTCATCTGCAAATCAATTTGGTCTACAGTTTGGAGGAGACGACGGAAACTTCAAAAAACATACATGAGAAGTCATTGAAACCATTCTTTTACGGTCTCCTTCAGTCCCTATCATTTGGATCGATATTCCTAGCCTTGACAACAACCTATTACCTTCTCTGCCACGCCGCGGAATCAATGAATGAATTTGACTCCTAAATTCCGGTCAACCATATGCTTGGAAACGTAGATAGAAAATTGGCATGACACAAATATGGGGCATTTTATCAGCCTCCAGAAGGGTGGGCTGTCCGACAACTCTCATCAGTTTTAAAAATAGAGGAATATCCAGAAAATGCCTCGGCCTCTTGATAATCGCTTGAAATGAAACATTCAGCGACCCGATGAAGCACGTTCATTTTAAGAATATCGTAAATCAGGTTGAGTGCTTGTACACAGGGACTAAATAACGTGGCGGGCTGTTCAGGCCTAGTTAAGCAAAAGACTATCCTGAATCTCAAGATTCAGAACCGATCAGAATCGAGCATTCATGTTCGATGGTAAAAATATGGATCTGCCAGATTCCAGTACCGCGTCTGCCACACTATCCTCTCGATGTCCGTTTTGGGAGAACGAGCATTCAACTGGCCAATCATAACCGAGCAATTGCCCATTTCACACGTGTTTTCTATCCCCAGGACTAGTTACCAGCACTCGCGATAATACCCCTCTGCCTTCCCGGCCCAACTGTCATCTGGACAGAGATGGGCAACCAATGGCGAACGAGTTAGCAGCAAAGGAATAATCAAAGCCCGTAGCGTATCGACTGGGGAGTTTCGCAAAATCAAATACGACTCAGTCTTGCTAATCTTACCTGAGTGAAATCAACTGGTTATCATGACTCTACCAGCTGAACGTACTCCAACTGCCTGGATATGAGCATTCCCGCAAGCTATAATCTGTACAACCTAGACAGTCAAGCTACTTATGGTAACAGTAACAATTCGACGGTACTCTCTCCCAGTAGTCAAACCTATTTTACAGGCTCCCCGAATGAGAAAATCAATGGCTCGTTCTACGAGATTAATGCAGACATGCCCATTCGATTTCGTTATCAGTTTGATAACCCTGTGATAGTACAGAGCCCGGCACATTTCCGATCGAATTCCCAGTCCATCCAGAATGTGAGTGAGCATACTCCATCACCGCAATTGCAGCAAAGTCCAGTTGACGACACTAACAATGAACTGCAAATCGATCGGAATTCAGATAGGCAGGAGCTCAGCAATCATATACGACATTCTACTAACAAAAGCTTTCAAACGCCCAGCAAGCACCGTGATCCGACATCAGGACAGTGGGCATCCTCATTTTTTGCAGAGACTGTTGCTGGATTTACACAACATGTTTCGGCTGCTCAAGAGAAGCTTGATTCACTCTACTCGCAGCTGACGGCTCACAAAACGGAACAGCATTCAGATTGTCTGAGAACTACTGATGTGCCCCCTCCGAACTTGACCCTATCATTTCATGGTGGTTATCCTAACCAGGAAGAAAGCAGTTTACACACAATCCACAGTTCCTCAAAGCATTCCATTTCCGTAGTTGACGAAGTAGAGAGGTTCTCCCAAGTAGCGCACAAATCCGAAAATTCACGTGCGGAAATCGGCAAAACATTACACTGTGATCACACGCCATCAGCTCATCAGAGAGATTTATCATCTCTGGACACTTTGGATAAAATGCCCACATCACAAATTGATTTGCAAATAGGGTAATTAACCAACGACCTTGTTAAATAAGCCTATTTTAATCCCGATAGTAGCACTTTTAAGCGGATGGAGAGAGTCACATTCGTAGGTCCACTAGGTAAAACGGTGGGTGATTGATGGATAGTTTGGTGCTAAAATTTCCAGATGCCATCATCATCTACTTATCGTCTGACCGGGATATTTTGAAACAGTTCTAAGCGCGTAAAGCTCACTCACCCATTCTTCCCGTTTCCTCTGGGAAAAAAACAGGTTAGTAATGTACATAAGGTTGACGGAAACTCGGGAGCTGCGCCTACCTGATCAGCTCCAAGAAGAGAGAAACCGGTCGTGGGCCGTCAGAGTTTTCAGTAACCCTGTGAGTGACTTCCTCAATAAAATGTGAGGGTGTTTGTTCTGCCTCTGATGTTGTGGTATTTTATGCAACTTCTGTAAACACGGCTGCAACTATACTAGAATTCCTTTGAGAACAGATTTGAATTCTGATTCACGCAGCCCTGTGTGGCCTCCAAAACTGCTCTGCCATCAGACCCAATTTCTACCTGAGATCATCTTTGAGGTTTTCTATTTTATTTTTCTGGTTCTTGGTTCAGATACCCACCAGGGGATAGAGTGCTCTTCACACTTTGTTGTTTACCATCTTTTTGGGCAGAGGTACATAATTTTGTCTCCGGAAGGAAATTAGTTCGTCGAGAAATACACTCATTTGCAAATCATTTTGGCTTTCACGAGAGACTTAACTGAATCTCTCGTTTATGATAATTCATGATTCAGTTGGCAGGATATTAGAGAAATCGCAGTATATTTTCATTAAAGAAACTACTCAAATGGTTGCTGACAGCCCACGACCGGTTTCGCTCTTCTAGGGCTCATCAGGTAGGCGCAGTCCCCGAGTTTCCGTCAACCTTATGTTCTACTTGAACCCAAATTGGACTGTGTTCAAGAAATACACTCATCTGCAAATCAATTTGGTCTACAGTTTGGAGGAGACGACGGAAACTTCAAAAAACATACATGAGAAGTCATTGAAACCATTCTTTTACGGTCTCCTTCAGTCCCTATCATTTGGATCGATATTCCTAGCCTTGACAACAACCTATTACCTTCTCTGCCACGCCGCGGAATCAATGAATGAATTTGACTCCTAAATTCCGGTCAACCATATGCTTGGAAACGTAGATAGAAAATTGGCATGACACAAATATGGGGCATTTTATCAGCCTCCAGAAGGGTGGGCTGTCCGACAACTCTCATCAGTTTTAAAAATAGAGGAATATCCAGAAAATGCCTCGGCCTCTTGATAATCGCTTGAAATGAAACATTCAGCGACCCGATGAAGCACGTTCATTTTAAGAATATCGTAAATCAGGTTGAGTGCTTGTACACAGGGACTAAATAACGTGGCGGGCTGTTCAGGCCTAGTTAAGCAAAAGACTATCCTGAATCTCAAGATTCAGAACCGATCAGAATCGAGCATTCATGTTCGATGGTAAAAATATGGATCTGCCAGATTCCAGTACCGCGTCTGCCACACTATCCTCTCGATGTCCGTTTTGGGAGAACGAGCATTCAACTGGCCAATCATAACCGAGCAATTGCCCATTTCACACGTGTTTTCTATCCCCAGGACTAGTTACCAGCACTCGCGATAATACCCCTCTGCCTTCCCGGCCCAACTGTCATCTGGACAGAGATGGGCAACCAATGGCGAACGAGTTAGCAGCAAAGGAATAATCAAAGCCCGTAGCGTATCGACTGGGGAGTTTCGCAAAATCAAATACGACTCAGTCTTGCTAATCTTACCTGAGTGAAATCAACTGGTTATCATGACTCTACCAGCTGAACGTACTCCAACTGCCTGGATATGAGCATTCCCGCAAGCTATAATCTGTACAACCTAGACAGTCAAGCTACTTATGGTAACAGTAACAATTCGACGGTACTCTCTCCCAGTAGTCAAACCTATTTTACAGGCTCCCCGAATGAGAAAATCAATGGCTCGTTCTACGAGATTAATGCAGACATGCCCATTCGATTTCGTTATCAGTTTGATAACCCTGTGATAGTACAGAGCCCGGCACATTTCCGATCGAATTCCCAGTCCATCCAGAATGTGAGTGAGCATACTCCATCACCGCAATTGCAGCAAAGTCCAGTTGACGACACTAACAATGAACTGCAAATCGATCGGAATTCAGATAGGCAGGAGCTCAGCAATCATATACGACATTCTACTAACAAAAGCTTTCAAACGCCCAGCAAGCACCGTGATCCGACATCAGGACAGTGGGCATCCTCATTTTTTGCAGAGACTGTTGCTGGATTTACACAACATGTTTCGGCTGCTCAAGAGAAGCTTGATTCACTCTACTCGCAGCTGACGGCTCACAAAACGGAACAGCATTCAGATTGTCTGAGAACTACTGATGTGCCCCCTCCGAACTTGACCCTATCATTTCATGGTGGTTATCCTAACCAGGAAGAAAGCAGTTTACACACAATCCACAGTTCCTCAAAGCATTCCATTTCCGTAGTTGACGAAGTAGAGAGGTTCTCCCAAGTAGCGCACAAATCCGAAAATTCACGTGCGGAAATCGGCAAAACATTACACTGTGATCACACGCCATCAGCTCATCAGAGAGATTTATCATCTCTGGACACTTTGGATAAAATGCCCACATCTAAATGGATAGCAGGGTCGTCTTTAAAACACACCTTTGATCCAGATGAAAGTACTGTTGCTAGTGAACAAGTGATCAAGAACGATCCGGATTCCTTCGCAAACAACGCATCATCTATGACTGGATTGTCGTTGTTCCAGCGTCAAACACTGTTCGCTATTGGAAGCGGGGAGAACAATTACCGGTATTGCCACCAACAGTCAAAAAGAGCCATCGGTCCAAATCATAACAGCGTTACAATTCCAGATGTCCAACAACAATTCATCAATACAATGAATCTTTCAATGAGCAGTGGCTGCCGAGATTGCGACATGCAAGTTCAAAATGACAGCCTGTTTACACCCTCAGATTTTGGAGAAGTCAACAAACAGGTGTATGCCAGAGCGAATAAGCAGTGTCTCCAAGGCCGCTCTCAATCGATCAGGTCAAACAAAACGAGCCGGATGACTGCTAACGAGGAGACAGGTTTGGTCACATCACGCTGTTCGCTGCCGTTTAAATGGATGCAAATTAAACGTCAACATCCAAGGCTCACGAATACTGGTGGTAGGTTAACTGCGGTTTTGTACACTAAAATTCGAACGAAGGTATCATTTTGTTTCAAAGTCCTAAAAGACTGGTCAGAACTTCATTGCAATTTGGTGGTCTTTCAATGATGATAATTAACCGATCAGTCAGTAGGGAGCCTTTTTATTCTGAATCAAATAAAAAAACAACCCGAATAAAGGGAACCTCAAGTATTCCCGCTGCCTGAATTGGACAAGTTTGCCCCTGATTCAAACTGACTGACCATCAACAGCCCATTTAGTAAATAAAAAAAATTTAATGCAACCAAAACTGATGGGCCCCAAGCAAGCAGTCGGCTGTCAAAGCCTTCGGCATCCTTCTAAGTAGTAGGTTATGTCGAGAAAATGCACTTGGAAATCTCGAGTGTGGTTTCAACCCAGAGGTAAGGCAGCCTATGTGCAACACATGCAGTCTGGGGGTACCACGAACGAAAAATTTACTAGAGACGTCATTACCATCGATTTCATTTTGAAACTATTATACCTCGAAAACTCATTAGTAATTACCACACACATGCAGTCTGGGGGTACCACGAACGAGAAATTTACTAGAGACGTCATTACCATTGATTTCATTTTAGAACTATTATACCTCGAAAACCCATTAGTAATTAACATTTGTATCTTTGGAAAAAAGTATCAAGGTCTCTGCTTATGTGATATGCCGTTCGTTTCATTCACATTTCACTTTAGAGATTATACAACCGGATCTCATGAATGTAAAACTAAATATATGGATGTACGATGTTCATCTCGTAGGTTTTCATCATGCGATAATTTCAAACACTTCTCAACATAGTGGTTATTCCAGTAGAAACGTCGAAGTAAATATCCCTTCCAAAAGAAACTTTGAAAATGTCCCTCCTTCAGAGCAACTGCTGTATATTCACATACCCGGTAAAACCCAGTCGGTCTATACAAACGCTGTCTCACATAACAAGGGACAATGAAATAAGAAATTAATTGCGGACTCGTGAATGTTGAATCACAGGATTTTATTCCGATATTTTTTTCAAAGAAACCCCATGAAGATTATATATTTGTCTCCAATTCGTCATAAGTACAAAGGAACCTAAGCATTTTGTGACGGGGTGTTTTCATGAAGGAAACTATTAAAAGCTTGCTGAAAACTCGTCGACAGCCTTTCCCCATTGAGCTTATGCATTAGACACAGTCCCGGAGTTTCGGTTCAACCAATCGTATGTTCTCCTTGAACCCATACTCCACGAAATTCCATAAATACACTTTTTGCATGCCGATTCGATCTTTACGGGGACTCCCAGCTGAATCTCTCGGTTATGATATTCTTCAACTAAACGTGCTACACCAGACAGTCTCTTGATTTAGCTGACTTAAAGGAAACTACTGGATTGAGGCTACCCTGTGCAATATACTCGGTTGTAAACTAGCATAAACGAGGCATCTAGCTGGGTTACAGGTGAGTCTTCCATGAAAACCAAATTGAAATGGCAACTGAGTATGCTTGCTGAGAGCATTGTTTCAGCATTAACACAGTGAACGTTGGTGACGTTTCACCTACCATTCCGTGTCCGTACTAGCCTAAAGTTGCCGCAAACACAGACTACGTAGTTGGTATTCTTACTCGCGCTTGGTAAGCACACTAGGAGATAGTGGAATCAACTTTAATAACCTAGAATTGCCTACATTTCTGGTGTCAGAAGGCTACTCTACTTTCATCCCAAACAATTTCCTGTTCTACTCTGAAAGTCCGGGTCCGTAAACAAATGATTGTATTTGTAAATCTATTCGAACCTTCAGAGTGATGTGAGGAGCTTTGGGAAGTGAAGATTTTCATCATGTTAATCAAGACAAGTTATGTTGAAAAGCCAAAAAGCAGTGTGCAGTTCTTCCATCATCAGCATCTCATGAATCTCAGTGAGCTTCGAACCAGCGAACTTCCCGCCAGAGGTCGCAAAGCTAGCAATAGGGTTTTAAATGCCTGATCAGCAGTATGATTAGTTTTCACTTAGACAGGACATAGCACTAAGGTCGAAATACTAACCATCTGGTTTTAACTGACTGATCGGTAGTACGATTAGTTTTCACTTAGGCAGGACATGGTGCCACTCATCCTTCAATAACGGAAACCTCATTGACTGGCTTGTCGAGTGACTATCTCTCAAGAAGAAGTTTCACACGTCCAGTTCATCGGCAGAAGCGCTGTATCCTTCGGAGGAAATCCGGTCCCATGCAACAGTATTTGATAGGTTTAATGGGCGTCCTTAACTGATCATAGCTTCACAAAAAAGCTTAGTTGAGAAGGCATCATCGAGGACTCTTTTTTGGTGTCCATGGTCTAACTGCCTATTAGGTTCCTACAGTATGCCGTGATCCTTTCTGGCAACTGGAAACTTTTCCGAAGATAGGGAACCATTATGCTGTCAATAGCGATCCATTCAAAATAGAGCTACCCCCCTGAGGGACCACAGAGTCATTTTTTCGTTGGTTTCGTCTATTTGAGGGAACCCTGTGGTTGATTATATCTTCTATCCTATCAGCTTCACTGATAAGATACTTTCTTTCAACCAAGCGAAAGGGTGAAATTTAGTAGTATGAACGGTCTGACGAGTTTGTCAACTTGGAAAAGAGCCTTGTTTCCGGCACTGTATGAATTTAGGTTCTGGATCAGGCTGTGGTTGACTGTTTGATTTGTATATCATGACTGTTTATCTGTCAGTATCTTTGTGCGATCGAATTTTAAGTAAGGAGGCGAATCGGAGCGAACGTGTGACCCTGCGACAAATATGTATCAGGTTGTGGCGATTCAGAATACCTTATAAATGAAGTAGGAACCCTAAATTTGGATAGGAGTCGCTAGATGCCACCATGCTCGGCCCTTTTTCTCAGGTTATTTGGCAATTTCGAATAAGCCTTATACAGGAAAAACTTGAATTTTGATTTGAACCCATTCTGCTAATACACACGACGCATATACAGAATATTGTCTGAATGTACATTTAATACTAAACCTAAAAGTACTTGTTCAGCAAATAGGCTTCAATACCATTCTGCGTGCGCGCTGCACACAAGTTTCCATTAGTCTTGGTTCCTGGTTGAGAGTCATACCGGGAGTTCACAAATCAAAGTAGTGTTGACAGTATCTGAAGTGGCAAATGTGACTGATGTTGATAAGTAGCTCCAAGACAGCAAAACTAAAAGTAGCTTTCCTAGAGGGCTCAGTCAGCTTCTCCAGGGATATCGTTTCGGCCGAAACATGTTCTCCCCGAGATTACTGAATTACATTGGGGTGACTAACGATAGCCCGAGTTCGTATATCCTCGAGTCGGAAAGCACCACAGCCTAACGCTAGACAAGCTTTTGCAACTAGCCGCTGTATTCGTTCCGGTGTCTTGGTGTCAGAAAAGGATTCGTCAACAAGAAACATGACAGCTTTATTCCGAACAAGCGAATGCGAAAGTTGCAAGCGGCTTTACGTTATTTAAGGCAGACTTTCGACACTGATCTGGACTGCCCGATTGGCGATGGTCTATATAAGTCACACTATACTTCAAGTTGTTTCTTGGATTCTCTTTCCGGCAGCTCAACGCTCCAGGTAATAACATGATAATTTTCAAATCGGTGTTTGACGCACACAAAGACGTTGTAACGAAAAAAGGCGAAACTAGGTTCTTTTGCGCACCATTTTATCAGTTTGGAACTATCTGGGATATTGTGTCTCTGTTTTTTTTTTAATTCCCCCGGGGTGTAGTATATAGTATGTCAAGAACTAAGGCGTCACCATTCTTACGTGCTGCCTCCGACTTCCACCTCACTCCATTGAATGGGATCCTACACCTATTTTGCCAAGAGTTATAGGCTAGTGATCTATTTCCTAGTGAGAGATGGTTATTGGGACCGAAAGTAACCAACATCTAGTGTGATGTGTAATAATCTTTTCGGCCTGGAAGTTGACGCACACGGTCGCTCCCTTTTGTAGAGAGCACTTGAAAAGGACAGAGGGTCGTTTCATGTATTTTGTCTACCCAGAGAGGAGGCCCATCAGAAACAAGTCAAGTGGAACCGGGATGGCGTAATACGTAGTAATGAAATTCGATGTTTTGTTCCGTGTTTTTCCCTTGCGAATATCAAGCAGATTATGCTGCAATTGGGTTACGAAGAACTGCAGTTCGCCCATGCAGTGGACCAAGTTGGAGACCTAAACCAGGATGATGGAGCTTCACCAGAGTTAGAGACGGTAGGCTTAAAGTGGTTGGGAAGGGAAAGA